AACGAGAGAAAAAAAAGTATATTCTGTATTTGGAAATTCCAACTTTTCAGTAACTTTACTCTTTTCAATACATTGAGTTAATTTTCAACTCTTAAATCAGTTTACTACATACCATTGACCACTGCACCAAGCCACCAACAATATACTATAATATGATATGATATGGTATATATAATATGGTTTTAAAATGTTATTTTCTTAACAAATGAACTTTTCGTTCATAATTTGTTGCATGGGGTGGTCAGATTCAAAGAAAATAATAAATAAATTAATTTCATCATTTGGTTATCAAAATTACTTATAAATTGACCCGGTTGAAGTCATATAAAACAATTTGACAAGAAAATAAAATGAAACCAAAGCATAGCCTCATCATATTTGAACTTTTCATGCTATTCCTTTACTGAACCGCAAAAGGATACTTACTCCTTGTGTTTTAGAGAACAACAAATCAAAAGAAATTAAGGTGATGCAGATAAATCAGACAGGTTGATTTATCAGTTACATGGGCTTGGTTGTCATGATAGAGGAAGTGAGCTGTATAAGAATGGTGTGAGCATAAACAATATGTGAAATGCCAAGTGAATAAACAATATTGGTGGGTCAGAAATTGAGAAAGCAAAGTATCAATTCATTTGAAGTGTCAGAAAGTAATAATGTTTCAATGTTTCAGACTTTGTGTCTTTTTGGAAGCAGTTTGCTTTGTTTCCTTTTCTCCACTAAGTGTCCTGTCACTGTACTATGTGACTCTTCTTACAATATCACAACACCCTCAAAGCTAGAAAGCACTTTAGGTGCAAAAAAGGCTTAGTCTGTTTGGCTCTTTTTGGTTAAGGCTGCAAACAAAATGTGGGTGTGGTCCATTTTCTAATCATTATTTATTGTATCTTTCCTTATAAAACTAAACAGTAAAAAGAAGTTACCAACTAAACATACTAAGCTGATTATAAAGATTGAAAAAGGAAAAGCTAAAGCATGAATTTAACTTGTGACTTCTAATGAAAGGAAAAAAGGCTTCTGAAATTTGTTAGGATCATTGGGGTACAAATGATTCGTGATCCCGTGATCACTTTGGTTCTGATACTATAATAATAAAGGGAGTTATTAATCTCATGTTGCTTGAGATAGTTCTCTCATGTGTGTGAGATAAATATATGGGGTTCACACTTTAAAATAAAAGGAAAAAGAAATGGAAAAAGTTAGCACAAAATTTGATGAGTGTATAACATAAGAGAGCTATCTCCAACGAAATGAGAAAAATATTTCCCAATAATAAATCATCTCACCTAAAAGTTCAAGCTGTTAAAGTAAAGATTAACGATAATTTTTAATGTTTTCTTCATCATCTAATGATCTAATGCGACTTATCCCTAGTCCCAACTATGTAGCCTGCTCTTATATTAGAGCTTGTTAACTGCAGCTAATTACAAGCTAGTCTTTTTCTTTTCTTTTCATAAAATTACTACGAAGAATAAAAACGGTTCTTCAAAAAGTGCAATTAGAAGTTCTGTGAAATTTATTTCCATAATTATGTTGGAAAACATTTAATCAAATATACAACACCAGTTAGAAAAAGTCTTACAATGTGTTACCAAGTTAGAGAGGAAATTAATGAAACAAAAAAGAAAAAGAAACTTCACGATGTTAAGATAAATAATAAGGTGTACTAAAAGTTTATTACTTCGTCGACAAACACATGAAATTAATATCTTCGGAAAAAGTGAAGAGAGTATAGTACCCAATTATAGATAGTGAGACACCCAAAACCCTCTATGATTGATTAATTGATTATTTTAGTATTTATGTTTTTCATAAAGTGATAGGTTGGCATTGCCATATATAGAAAACAAGGTGCATTTCTAATTTAGATAATTAAGTCTGAACTTTCTAGACTTTTACATATATTATTAGAGAAATTCTTTTTAGGAAAATATTTATTTCATGTTGTACAAATAAAATTACAAGTGGGACCCACATGTAAGAGGAGAGAGAAAAAAAATGGTGAGACCCAACCTTTGTGTGTGTGTAGAAAAGTTGTTATCTCATATAAAATAAAATAAACATAACCCATATTATTATAGAAAAATATGTTTCTCACATTGCATGTGATAAATTATCTCATGCAATACAAAAAAAATATGTGAAATTCACTTTTTTTCTTTCCTTCTTTTTTTCTTAATAGATTCCACCCACTTTTTTATGTGTTGTATCAGACAATGAGAAAAATCAAACCCATTATTATATGCTTCTACTATACGCAGCTAGTGATGAAATCCAGCTAACTGTTCTAATTAGAGGGAAGCTGTAGTGATAATCATGGTGCAAACCTAATTGTATTTGCTAGATACGAATATTTCCTTGTCCACCATTAACCTCCACCCATGTTTCAATTCTAATGTGGTCAAACATTGTGGACAGCTCTAAATCCAAGTTCATGAACCAACCAAGGTTTTGTTCCTCACTCTGATTAAGCCAATTAGAATATTATCTAAGTGTCCCTTATACATTAAACATATCCGTTATGTATTAAAATTTATTATTCTCTTCTTAATTATATTTTTTTGAAACTGTGATTAAGTTGTGCGTGTGTGTGATTTTCTTTGTTAGAAATTCCTCTGTTTCTACTACTAGATATACCTTCTCTCTCTTTTTTAAAAAAAATTCTATATATAATTTTAGTGATATACTTTTTTAGAGTGCAATGCTAAACAAAGATAGTCAATGCATTATAGCTTATGTTTATCGTAAAATTAAAGTGCAATAAACATGTAGTTAATTACTTAATTAGTAGTCTCATGTATCAAATTTTTTTTTTACTTAATTAGTACATAAACCTTTCCCTTGGACGTGGTTTATTTTTGTGTCTCATCCTGTTTTGCATTATTAAACAAACCATGCATGTCGTGGTTTGATTGCATGTGTACATGTGCCTAAAGTATTTTACGGATTCGTTTCATGCATCTTACCCTAAATTTGGCTCATTTCACAAATATTTTAAGTAGATACAGCTTCAAGAACACACACAAACACGAAGAGAAAGTGAGAAAAATAAGGGTGTTGAGTTCAGTTAAGGCATATCTAACCCACGTGTTATCAGAGTGATGTGCTACACAAGTAAAAATAACATCTAATTAGATATCTACTGACAAGTAAAGGAATCAATGTTTTAAGTATGTAGATGCTATTGCTGGTTAGGAAACTTTGAGAGACAAGCTCTCAAATTTAATTATCTAAAGTCTATATAACTTCTTAGAATAAAAATAACTGATTCATATACAAATGTCAAGAGGGAAAAGGAGAACCAAACTGTCCTGTTCTTGAGGGACATTGACTCATATTAATTGGGAAGACATAAATAGTTTTATTATCATGGTTACAGAATCAAACACTCTTCTCTGGCACACTGTACCAACTTTGCCTCATTGTTTTAAGTCATATCATAAGAGTGAGGCGTAAGACCGGAGAAGCTAAGAGCTGAGAAATCAAAATGCATCGGACAATGCACTTTTCTTATGGTCATAGGGGTGTAAATGGGTTGGAAAAGCTAGTCTTTATCTTAAATAAGTCAGGTTTGTATAAAAAATATTGGGTATGGTCTGGCCTATTAGTCTGTGTAAGCCTCAAATTATAAGTCTGTCCTGATTTATATTTAAAAAATAAAAGTCTTGGCCTAGGCCTGTTAGCCTGTTTAAACCTATTAAACATTCAACAATTAAAAGAATAACTAAAATACTATTATTTTGTTATTCAAAATTATTAAAATAATAATTTTATTTATTATATTTTAAATAAATAATATGATATAGGTCGGCCTGTAGGCTTGTAGGCTTGACATATACAAAAAAAAAAAAAAAACATATGGTCTATTTTTCTAAATAGATTTTTTTAAAAGTCTAGGCCTGTTCTATTTTACAATTTATAGTAGGCCAAGTCTGGCCTAATATAAGTTAGGCCATAGGCCCCTGTAGACCGGCTTAGCCCATTTACACCCCCTACTTATGGATATCGGGTTTGGGTTCAGGTTCGGGTTTTAGACTTATGGCCCATCAATATACATTGGGCCTTTGTTTGGAGGTCTCTTTTCGCTTTTTGGTTTATGGTGATTGGTGAATCATTGTCTGATTTGGAAACCAACGTGATGAAAAAAAGAAAAAAGTTTTATGTTGTAGTAGATAAAATTATTTTTTATACATATATAAAGTGTGCTGGGCTTATGCAGGATCATGTGAAAGAGAAAAGAGAGAAATAAAAAAGGAATGTTATGCTTACCACTAATTAAATTTACTATCTTTACAATCAAAATAAATCAATTTTAGATCTAACGACTAACGGTCAATTCTTATAATTTTAATTCTTTACTCTTCATTCTCTCTCATCTTCTCTCTACTCTCTCTCTAGGTTTGCAAATTCCTTTTTCCTTTAAAAAAAATGCTGCCATGAAATGCTACCAAGTCACAAGCCCTATCAGATTGAAAAGGTTATGATCAAATTATCATTAAATTAGAAAATAAAAAAAAATAAGTTTTGGATTTGAAACAATAATTTTTTAAATTTGAAAATAAAAAAAGTGGGTTCTGAGTTTGAATCAATAACTTTATGGGTCGATGCATCACTACAATTTTTTTGTTCTTTTTGAAAATATTATTGAACTTTTAGTTTAGCAGGTTTTTTTTTTCTTTAAAAAAAAAAAAAAAAAAAAACTTGATAGTGCAATTGTTTGAAAAGGGATTGCAAAAAGGTTAAATTTTATAATTTTTGACAAAAACAGTTTTGAGAATTATGATAGGATTGTTTGGTTTCAGAATTCTTGCATACCACAAAGATTGACCAACTAATGAACTCTAGCACAAAAAGGATTTGAACACCCTAGTTCTTGTGGTGAAAACCCACCCTATAGATATAACGTTATGTTTTTCTTAGGGAAGAGGCATTTTGCAAACCCACGGAGAGAATAGAGAGAACTGAGAAGTGAGAGAGGATGAAATACAAAGAATTAAAATTATAAAGATTGATTACAAGCCATTAGATCTAAATTACTGATTTGAATCAATAATTTTTTAAATTCTTTTATAATTTTTTGTTGATAACTTATAATTGTTTGAAGGCTAGAGTGAATAATTCTGCAGCCAAAGCCTAGCCAGTGTACATCTAAGTTCTAGAGTTCATAAAATAACCTAAGATTACATGATCATTTAGACTTCTTTCCTTGTTTTTTCTTGATAACTTCATCAACATACATTATGCCTTTGCCTTTGTAAACTTCTGGTGGCTTACAATTCCGAACAGTAGAAGCAAACTGGTGCACCCTCTGCTTGTCTATTCCAGTACAGCAAATTACATTGTTTTTGAAGCAGAAAACACGGACAGCAGGAGGCACACTTAATTCAACCTCATGACTGTACCCCAATTTCAGATACAATACACGTCCTGCAGCTTCAGCTCTGGCTTTGTACCCAACACCCACAATCTTAAGAAAGCGAAAAAAATTTGCCTCCATCAATTCCAAAGCAAATCAGTTGCCTAAAATTGCCAGAGAACAAAAATTATGGAAAAATATAGAGAATCAAACCAATGCGAAGAAAACACAAAAGAGCAAGGTCTCACATCCTATCTTTTGTATAGAGAATGCCATACCCATTATAACAGAAACATATTGATTTTCATTTGCTAGCAAGCCGATGCAGACAGGAGATCAGGCACAGGTAATGAAATCAAAGCAGACACAATAAGATAAGTAGTGTGCATACTAAAAGAGTGGATGTAAATTACCATGAGTTAAAGAAAACGAATTATTGAAATTGCATAACCAAGGCATTTATAAATACAATCACTCCCCATTAAACTCGACTAGAGAGAGTGGGGTGAGTGCAATCCGTTTATGCAATCTTATTTCTCGAATTCGAACCCATGACCTTTTAATAACAAAGGAGCAGCTTTACCACTGCTCTAGGCTCCCCTCTTTTAAGGCATTTATAATTATACAAACAAAAATGTGTGTAAAATATAGCTCCACCTGAATGCTCATTCTGAAGCAGTCAATTCACACTCAAGAAATAAAGCTTGTACAGGATGTTGGTACAGAGAATGAAACCATTCAGTGGTATTACTTGAAGGGAGATCCTTCACACATGGATGCAACAAATGCATAGGTATTATCAATTTATTGAATCAGACATAAGAACATATGAAAGAAATGCATCGATAATTCCTTCAAATGTTATACTAACATATGAACGCAGACATAAGAAGAACCCAATCTTGAAATGAAAGAAATGCTCTACCTTGAGGGTTTACCCTCTACTCAATCATACACTCACAACAGAGAAACAAAAAAATAAAAAAGGAAAAAGAGAAACCTCACGAAAGAATCAAACACAATTCCGAAAATTTATCATATACAGACATTCCAAGGGTTTTGTCACATCCCAAGGCATTCAAGTTTAACAGTTCAAATCAAACAAATAATATAATTAACATCAAAATTTAAAATAAAAATAAAAAAAGGCACAAAAGAGAGAGAGAGAGAGAGTGAAAATGGTACCTCTGATTAGTGAGTAATAAGACTCTTATTACTCACTAATCATCCTGTTTTGCATTATTAAACAAAACATGCCTGTCGTGGTTTGATTGCAAGTGTACATGTGCCTAAAGTATTTTAGGGATTCGTTTCATGCATCTTACCCTAAATTTGGCTCATTTCACAAATATTTTAAGTAGATACAGCTTCAATAACACACACAAACACGAAGAGAAAGTGAGAAAAATAAGGGTGTTGAGTTCAGTTAAGGCATATCTAACCCACGTGTTATCAGAGTGATGTGCTACACAAGTAAAAATAACATCTAATTAGATATCTACTGACAAGTAAAGGAATCATTGTTTTAAGTATGTAGATGCTATTGTTGGTTAGGAAACTTTGAGAGACAAGCTCTCATTTAATTATCTAAAGTCTATAACTTCTTAGAATAAAAATAACTGATTCATATACAAATGTCAAGAGGGAAAAGGAGAACCAAATTGTCCTGTTCTTGAGGGACATTGACTCATATTAATTGTGAAGCCATAAATAGTTTTATTATCATGGTTACAGAATCAAACACTCTTCTCTGGCACACTGTACCAACTTTGCCTCATTGTTTTAAGTCATATCATAAGATTGAGGCGTAAGATCGGAGAAGCTAAGAGCTAAGAAATCGGAATGCACCGGACAACGCACTTTACTTATGGATATCGGGTTTGGGTTCAGGTTCGGGTTTTAGACTTATGGCCCATCAATATACATTAGCCTTTGTTCGGAGGTCACTTTTCGCTTTTTGGTTTATGGTGATTGGTGAACCATTGTCTGATTTGGAAACCAACGTGATGAAAAAAAGAAAAAAGTTTGATGTTGTAGTAGATAAAATTATTTTTTATACATATATAAAGTGAGCAGGTTCATAGTAACCCCAATTACGTATGTTAAGACCATTATCACCACCATCCATCACAAAAGCAAATGATAAAGAAAATTGCAGGACAACAATGTACACTTTGTTAATATCCTCACAAATTATCCAGGTCCATTGCATTCTCCTAACAAGCCAGCACAACTGAAAACAGAATAAATTAATATGAAAAAAACAAAATAACAACATAATGCAATTGGGTGACCAAAAAAACCCACCTTTTCTTTCAGCTCAAATACAGTCAAACCAGAAAAAAAAAAGTTCAATGGTATAAATTACACAAATCCCATAAATGTACACATGCAAAACCTCATGCCCCCAAAGATTTCAGCTTCTGGGTTTTGATCTAAGATCCATTTAACCAGGGAAAAAAGCAATAAAGTCAGATCTTTGAGCCATGAAAATGAACAGATCAACAGAATCTAAGATCAAAATGAAAGTGGGAAAATGAAAAAAAAAAATACAAATAAAAAAGAGATTTTAATGTGAACCCATGTTAATACTTGAAGAAATAAAAAGAGGGTCATGGAATGTTTGAGCAAAGCGAGAAGAGAGCAATACCTGTTAGGGTTCTTGGCGTCTACGAATGGCGAATGGAGAGAGCAGAGGAACAAAAATGTCTGCACGCCAACTAAAAATCTAATCTTAAAAATAAAAAATAAAAATAAAAAAATAAAGAGAAAAATATTGTAACAATGTTGTGTATCAAATTATTATCAATGGTTGGATCGATTATGTGAATCTCACGGTTATATTTATTTTCATATTTGTATGGTCATGATTTTTTAAATTTAATATTTTATATTTATTTTCATCTTTGTATGGTTATGATTTTTCATATTTAATATTTTTACTTTAAATATGAGGAATAATAACCATACAAAAATAACCGTTAGATCAACATAATTGATCTAACAATAAAATATATTGGTAATAACTTGTACTAACATAACTAGGCTTTTTGACCCTTATAGCCCTTTATTATTAATTAATTACCGATTTGACCTTGATTATAAACTATTTCAAAAATTTAACCCCCTCAGAAAACATAACACTAATCTGCCCCTGTTTGACCGTTGACCACCAAGCCTACCCGGGTACACCCCTCTGTACCCGGGTATTTTTTGAAAAATTTTGTCTACCCGGGTAGGGAGGAGTGTACCCGGGTATTGTTCTTCGTACCTGAAAAATTGCTTGAATTATTTACCCGGGTAGAGAGGGGTGTACCCGGGTAAATCTTCGACCACCCATTTGGTATTTTTTCTCTCTTTTTTACAGCTAATGAGATAGATCAGTATTATCAAGTTAAGCATGCCTAACCAATTTGAAGAGCTTTTAGCTTTGAGAATGGATTTGGAATTTCCATACATCAACACTGTACTGCTCATCAAAGCGGTCCCTGTTCGTATCGATTATGATGGGGTCTACTTTTATGTACGTCAAAATCGCGCTCCTATATATAAATGTGGTACCGGGTCTATTGGGGAGAGTGAGACAGAAAGAAAATAAAGACAGGGTTCATGGTACAGAAATTTAGTGTGAGCATGTAGCTTTTCATTTTACTGGTAAATGACGAATTATCACGTTCAGGGAAGACATGCATGGGACAAGGTTTGTGGTTGTGGATTTATACTGTTAACTAAGAATTCTCTTTCTGAAATACTCATTGAAAAATATTTGTGTGCTTTACAGACCCAAAAAAGTTGCAGAGGCAGAGCACGTGATAGTCGGTGCCTCCATATTCAAAGCTTGGAGAAGAAGAGTGCATGAGAGATCCAAAGAGTAATCATACCGGGTGGTTGAAGATTTACCCGGGTACACCCCTCTCTACCCGGGTAAATAATTCAAGCAATTTCTCAGGTGCGAAGAACAATACCCGGGTACACGCCTCCCTACCCGGGTAGATAAAATTTTTCAAAAAATACCCGGGTACAGAGGGGTGTACCCGGGTAGGCTTGGTGGTCAACGGTCAAACAGGGGCAGATTGGTGTTATGTTTTTTGAGGGGGTTAAATTTTTGAAATAGTTTATAATCAAGGTCAAATCGGTAATTAATTAATAATAAAGGGTTATAAGGGTAAAAAAGCCAACATAACTAGGTTGTTACAATCCAATATCATTTTCCTTATAATATTATAAAGATTAATCTTTTCTCACGTTATATAAAAAAAAAAATTATGGATCCCACTATATTTTTTTAAATTCGCACCTCCAATATTTTTTAAATTTTGATGGATCTCACTATATGATATTTTTTTTTTTTGTAAATTCACTATATGATATTTACACATGAGAAAAATATATTGAATAATATCTTTTTTTGGTAACATAATTAAATAATATTTTGTTTTTAATTGAATTTTAATTCAAAATGTGCAAATTGTCTCGACCAGTCATCAAACAATAAATAATAGTTATCTTCGTCGAACACCACTTTCCTATTACGCCTGCAAATTGCCCCATTTTAAATGTGTTTTAGTTTAATCTTCATTTTAATATGATTCATTATTAAAATTATCATAAGAAGTGAAACTTTGTAATTAATAATTAACAATAAATAAGCAAATAAAAATTGCAAATTCATTATAGGTTAAGGTTTTTAAATAACACACGTTAGCTGGTTTCACCTACCACCGGTACCTTTATAATTTAATATAAAAATAAAATTATTCATTAATTCTCATTTGTAATTTTATTGAAATAAGAATTATAGCCAGCTATTATTTATATTGCATACATATATATTTGTGTGTGTTTTCATGTCCACTGAAAATTAAAATTTGGATATATTAGTAAAGTTAGCAACAACAACAACAACAACAAAAAATCGACCCAATGGGTACAGCTCAGTTGGTAACTTGGCGCTGAGTTAGTGGGGTTGGATATGTGTTCGATTCCCGCTGAATGCATTCTTGGGGAGGGGACTGAACCTTTAGCCATCATTGTTCCCCCGCACTCCGGATTAGTCCCATAGCCAGCTCAAAGAGTCGAAGCTTGTGGGGATACCGGAGGGAGCCAACTCGTCTCAAAGAGATAATTAGGGTTGTGTAACTCCAAAAAAAAATAAAAAATCATGGTGTAAATTTTAATTGGTAATAATATATTTGAGTATTTTAGTCATTGATAATTCAGTAAAATATAATAATATTATAATGGGAATTACTTTTCTTATGTTACATAAAAAAAATATTATCTCCTACACTCACATTTTTCAAATAGATCTCACAAGATTTTTTCTCTCACCTTCAACTTTTTTTCTCTCTCTTATTTATTGTTTGAGCATAAGATACTTCTCTTATACAACATAAGAGAAGTATTATCCTATTATAATTAAGTTAAAAAAAAATCTGAACGTGAAAAACAGTGGGTACTGGGCCTACTGGCAGCAACCTGGGCAACAGTGGCCAAAGTGCCACGGTTGACCAAAAAAAATATCAAAATGTCACGCCAACAGTCAATTTTGCCAAAATGTCACGTGGCATATTTCGCTACATTGTGTAGCGAAATATGTGTGCAAATAATTCGCTACACGGTGAGGCGAAATATGTCACGTCGGAACCAAAAATGTCACGTGTCAAACAGGGAGAATTTCGCTACACAGTGTAGCGAAATTCTCCCTGTCTGACACGTGACATTTTTGGTTCTGTGCATTCTGACGAGACATATTTCGCTACACCGTATAGCGAATTATTTGCACACATATTTCGCTACACAGTATAGCGAAATATGCCACGTGACATTTTGACAAAATTTACTATTGACGTGACATTTTGAATTTTTTTTTTTTTAACATTAACACTTTGACCACTGTTCCGCAGCGTGTGCTGGTGGAGTGTGATAAGTCCATGAAATAATACTTACAATGTATGGTTTTTAATATGAAAATGTAAAAAAAGAATACACTTTGTGTTAATAGATACCCCAAATTGAATTAAGGTGGATGATTCTGATTTAAATGCTAATGGGTTTTTTTTCTTATTTGCATTCTTCAGGCCCAATTGTGATACAGCCCAAGGAAAGAAAGGAAAGAGAAAGGAAATAATAGAGAAATGAGAAAGCAAATCAGTGGCCCAAAAGAAAAGAAAAGAAGAAGAGAGAAAGAAGTCAGAATCGTGCGTCTTCTGAAAGAGAAAGAAAAAAAACCCTAGCATAGACCGTCTAAGTGAGCCTACTCCATCTCAAGCTCTCCATCATGGTTCCCTCTCTGAATCGAGCAAGTAAACCAAAAACATCCTCTGATTTTCAACCTAGATATAGAACCATCACTTTCCACCACGGTTCAGTTTTTGAATCGGACCAACTTACACAAACCCTAACACCTTGTCTCTCGAACCGAACCCTAACCCTCATACAACCCATTTCCATCGTTTGCACCCTTTCTACCTGATTGACGCACCAAACCACACAATATCGCAAACAAACCAAAACCTAGCCACTATTTTGGATTCAGAAAAAGCCAAACAAAGATCCGTTACTTAGTGGATGCTGGAGCGATTGTGAGCACACGTCAGTGTACGGTTTGAAGGAACGACAATTCCATCCGATTTGTAAGAGCAGAGGAGTGGAGCACTGTGGGGACCACTCATTTGCAGCAGCGCGTCATATTGCTGAGCTGGAGAAAAAGAGGATAGTGTGCAAAGAGCCCTATAAAAGGGATATAGGAGTGAGTCATCGGGGAGCTCTCTTCTGTTTTCTGATTTATGGTTTTTCTTAGTTTTTGTTTTCTGAACAATTTTGAGTTTCTTTTAATTTCTGTTTTGTAATGAGATTCTGGTTCATTTTGATGAACTTGATGCATGTCTTTACAGCACTGAGATTGCCGGTTGTTAGGCCAGTGCTGTAATTGTAGTTTTTAGAATTTTTATTTTGTGAATTCTGTAGTTCTGTTACTGTTTGTAAGCCTCACCCCTATGGATAGTGGCTAACTTTTTAGAGGTTGGGTTTAGGTGATACCCAAACCTCAGTGCTTGTCAAATATTTGATTTCCTGGTTTTAATGTTTATATCTCAGTTGTTTAATGTTGTTTCTAATGTTTAAAATTATCTGCATTTTGGCCAAATGTCAGATGTTTGATTAGGATTTAGTTGTTGAGAAACAATTAATTCTGGATTCTGCATTAGACACATGAACTTAGATGAGAAATCATCTAAGGGATCTCAATTCAGAAATGAATGAGTCCTCATGTAATAGTGGACCTGAATCTCAAGAGTCCTAATCCCACTTGGCATAGAGATATGGAAGTGGGCAACTTTGGGATAAAATAATTTTTAAGAGATTAAAAATTAACAATACAGTCCTGTTAACAGAGAATCTTAGGATGAGCCTTTTGTTAATCAAATTATTTTTCAAGCATTGTGGGGAAGGAGAGCCAAAAACTCAACCCACCTTTTTAAACATCTTTATCAATTCAGATTTTCCAATTTCCTTTGTTATTTCATATTTCAATCTCTATTCCGTTTTCAAAATTTTTGTCACATCTTTCATTTAAGTTGCTCCATTCTTCATTCTTATTTTATAACTTAAGAAAGTAATTCAGAAAATTTTAAAAGAAAAGTGAACAGTAGTGTTTTAGGTCCATTCTAAATTATTTTTACTTTACAATTTTATATCTTTTATTTTCAAATA